GGGCAGCAATTTGGAAGGCTAAGTGAGCACATAACCTTAATGGGCCTAAAGCCCATTTCGAACTGGGCTGATTTGATCAGTTAAATGAGGGGCGAATTCTGAGATTAGATTAGCAGATAGGATTGGGTCTTAACCCTATCCACTCAGAGAGTCCAGATCTGAATCACATTCAGATCTGGAAACCTCCTAATAGGATTAGGAGGGGGCTGATCTAATCTACAGATATGATAAGGGTTTACCCTTATCACTTAAAGGGAATTCTGATCCAAATATGATTTGGATCAGCAACTCCTAATGGGATTAGAAGTTGATCCCTTTAAGCTTATAAAAGGAGGGGGCAACAGCCTTTAGAAGACATTCATATTCACATCCTCTTCAGAGCTGAAATCACAGAAGAGAGAATTCAGCATCACAGCGCTAAATCTCTCTTGCCGCCTCCTTCCTACCACCGCCATATCTGCCAATTCGATCTCCTCTTGTCAGTAGGAGTGATTAAGATTGGATCTTGATATCAGTCCTTTGTGAAAGGGCTGATTGGAAGAAGTGCTCACGTGTCGTCCAATTGATACTTGCGAAGGATCTGGTTCTTTTGAAGAACGCTACTGATTCTGCTCCATCCTGCACTGCGCCATCTTCAGTGGAAGCAGCTTTTTGTTCCTTCTTTGGGCGTGAACACCTCCATTGGGAGATACTATTTCTCCGTATCAGGTATATCCGTCTCCTACTGCTTTTGTTCAGATCTGGTTCGGTTCTTGGTTCAAGATTGATCCTTGAAAAATATGATTTTTCTAAAATAGGGAATACGATTCCAAGTAGGATGGAGAGAAATTTTTGAAATTCGCCCATTCTATTCCGCAAGATTCGGGCATCCATACGATGGATATCTCATCCCTTCACTGATTTCAGTCATTAAACATTTCCAGAGCATCTTTGTAGCAAGATATCAGATAGCAACCTTCCCTTTGACTGTTTGTGCCTCATTTTTTCTCAAGATTGGTTATTTGGCTTTTTCCCCTTATTGGTGTCTTGGGTTACAAGAGCTAAACACTTTTTTGAAAAGTTTGAACTGTTGATATGGTGGGATGTGGTACTTTAGATAGCTCTACCTCCAGAGAGGTCTTAAGGAATGTTAATGTCCTTTCTTCCTCCAGCCCTGCACTTGTTCTTTCACCTCAATCACCATGCTCCATGCCCATTCTTCTGCCTCTGTCATGGCAACAAGTCTACTCTTGCTATTCATTTTTGCCATTGTGAGGAAATCATCCAATCTGCCTTTCCTTCCAACGGTACTTCTTTCCTTCCTTGCTAAATTTTCCAATGCTTCCTTCTGTGTATCTTCATTTTTGCCAGTGTGAGGAAATCATCCAATCTCCCACCCTTCACCTTTTCTCTCTTCAGGGAGGCACATTAGTTGCTTCCTCCCATTCCCAAAATATTCATAGTTGCCCAAGAAACCCCCTCTAGTACTTCCCTTCCTTTCTACATGATAAATCCTTCATCACCAAGTGTACTCTTCCATTCCACCTCATCCCAAGACCTAATTGCTCCTACAGAATTCTTGAGCCAAGCTATTGCTTCTTTTCCAAATTGCAACACCATCACCATCTTCATTTCCCTGACTTTCAGAGCACTCTGAACTCTAGCTCTCATCTCTTCAAATAGAAAAACTCTTAGCTTCAACCTGCAGGAATCTCCTCTGCTTAGCAATCTCCATAACCATCTTCAGATTGTCTGCACTACTGCTGCAGGAATCAGATCCACTTAGCAATGTCCATCGCCATTGCCATGGAAGCAGATTTTAGTGCAGTCGTCAACATCTACAACCAGCTGACACTGACTCCTCTGGGTTACCAAGACTACAATCGTCAAAATTCAGTCTGGTTTCATCCGCGAGGGGGGTCCCACATTTAGCTCTCTTTCTCTCTTCAAATGATAAATTTATTAAAATGAAACCTAGCATCAAGACCACTTAACACTTCGTAATAAATTTCCCTTAATGGGCTGGTGAAGTCAGTCAGGTGCCTCATGATGAAAATTTGAGTTCCACCAAAGGTCTCTAAATTGCGGATATCCCTTTTTTTCTTTTTCACTTGTATCATCGTGAGTTTCATTGAAAAGATGCAGCATTTTTTGTGGTCAATAGACTCAATAAAACACCAATACCCGCTTTTTCTTTACGAGAAAATGGCCATATACTTACATCCTGTCGATTTGGTGATCATAATAGGTGACAATAACCAAATACCATCTCCAAAAATACATATATAAAAATTGCATCTACTTTAATCATCATAAGGAACTCTTCAACAGTTCTCACTTAGCAAACAAACCAAAAATACAAAGTACCAAGTTACTTATCAATTTCCAAAATCAAAGAACTAAATAACAGACATCCTAAAACATCCTGTCGATTTGGTGATCATAATAGGTGACAATAACCAAATACCATCTCCAAAAAATACATTATAAAAATTGCATCTACTTTAATCATCATAAGGAACTCTTCATCAGTTCTCACTTAGCAAACAAACCAAAAATACAAAGTACCAAGTTACTTATCAATTTCCAAAATCAAAGAACTACCTAACAGACATCCTAAAACTAATCATATGACACACGAGGTCACCAACTAAGCTTGGCCTCAGTGCAAATATCCTCTTCCTTTTCATCTTTACTGTTTTATTTTTGTTTGATCAGTAATAAATGACAAGGAAGAGGAGGAGGAGAAGAAGAAGAAGAAACATCGCTCTGGACTCACAAGATAGAAACATCAATGTAGCTTACCAGCACCGCTAGCACCGGAACACGGCACAGCCGCGTCAACGACGGCGACGGAGAGATCCGATTGGAGAAGAAATTGCCTAGCAATAGTCAAACCTATGATTCCGGCACCGACGATCACAACATCGAAGTCAAACGAAGATGAAGCAACGATCGGATTTAAAGAAGAAGATGACAATGAAGCCAGCTTGGGTCCCGAAACGACACTTCGATGACAAAAACGACGAATGAATGATTGAGATGAATGATCTCTTCTTCCTAATCGTCTGATCTTACTCCCGTAACCATCAAACAATGTACAGTTGTGAAATTTCACAGATTTAAAGGCGGAAGGAGGGCGAAGTGCTTTCGGTGTTTGAGAAGGGAAAACGTTGCTTATGCTAAGGTTAGGATCTGAAGAACCGATCAAAGTCGCCATTAGCTTCTTTGTACGGTAAGTAAGTAAGAAGAAGAAGAAGAAAGCTCAGTTCAGCACTTCAGCTAATCGCAGGGGACATCACTTGCTACCAGTACCGGCAGAAGTCCAAAAGTCCAATTGAAACTTCTGAGGGGAAATAAGTGGTTCGGACCAAGTGGTACACCCTCATTGACCCGACCTTATCGACCAGGCTGCAGCATTCGAACGTTTGGAATTGCCAAATGTGTACGTGAAATAATGTTTATAAATAAGAAGGGAGAATGACGACTAAGGCGTTGGTGCATAGAGTGTGGGTATTTAACATTTTGAATGTTTACGTATCTGCACTGAAATTCAGAAATTTACATTTAGGATGAGAAAAAAAGTTGAAAAATCGGTTAACAGAATTCAGTTTTGGTTAACCATTTAAAAAAACCGGCGGTTAACCAAATTATCCGATATTATATATATATATATATATATATATATATATATATATATATTTTTTGAAAATCGAATTTGACAATTGTTTTTTTTTTTAATATGGGCAGTCTATCTTTTCCCTAGACTGACTGCCCCTACTCTTTCTGGCAGTCTTGTCTTTTCCTAGGGTCCAAACTACCCCTTCTCTTTTTTCCCTCTTAGTCACTTTTTCTCTTTTCTCTCTCACTCTCTTAAATCTCTCTCAATTCTTCTAAGTTCTAACTTCTTGTCTTCTTGGACAGCAACCACGTGGCCCGCACCAACCACCAGCAGCACCAAACGGCAACGCCGATCACCACCTCACCGGCAATGCCATCTGCACCTCTCTTCTCTCCCTCACCTCTCCTCTCTACATCTTGGTCTCAGATCTCTTAACTCTTCTAACTTCTTGCCTTCTTCGACAACAACCACCAAACAACCATGTGACTCGTGCCAACCACTAGTAGCACGGCAGGCAACAGCACCAAGCGGCAACGCCGATCGCCACCTCACCAGCAACGCCATCTCCACTAGGCACCATTTCTCAAGTCTTAAGCTCTTACTTCAGGCGACACTCGACAGCAACCACTGGTCCACTGGCACCAACTAGTCCAGCACCGACAGTAACCACCGACACCAACAGCAACCACCAATTGCAACAGTTTTAGTTATTTTTTTATTTTAAGTGCATAAAAAATCAAAAAACCGAACTGCAGTTAACCGGTGGACCCCTATCCGCATTGGGCATGTCCGTACTTTTCGATATATCATATTAATATTTGTACATTACAAATGTTATGTATGTTTGTCATAATTATTTATGTATTTATCTTTAATCTTTATTATTTAATTATAATATGAAATCATGACCCCATTAAATGTTTATCCATCAATTTATCATTTAAAAAATAACATAAAATTCATATTGTTAATAGTATTAGATATAAATCACGAGAGAGTGAAAGTTAATGCCTTAGATATATGACCAAATAGGAAGAATTTGAATGAGGTGACAAGTAATAATTCAAAATATGTTTTTGCACTTGAATTAGGAAATGATTAAATAAAAAAAAGGTATTTAGTTAGAAGAAAGTTCATCAAGCTCATTTATACTTGTATTTATTTATTTTACATGTAATTCCACTAAATATGGTAAGGTGATGGTGGTGGTGTTAGACAGTGTATGCCCTTACCTCCAATCAGCATGATGTACATTATGACATTTATTGTAAATGAATAAAGTACATATTTGATTTATATTATTGTAGTGTGTTTTTGTGTAATATCCTTAAACTGAACACTTGATGAGATTCGTGTAAGTTGGTTGGGGTGGCTTGTCTTAGCCGCCAGGGTGAGACTTGAGGTATATGTAGTGTGGGTTTTCTTGAAACCCTTAATCGAACCAAAATTCCAATATTGCCCTGGACCTTAGAGATAAATGGGCAAAACTGGAATGTTACACTTGACCCTTAGACTCGATTATGATACTACACTAGGTGTCGGATTAGGCTGTCTTTGATGTGCCAATCAATGAGATCCTTAGAGAGGGCCAAAACTTGGGTATGTTGGGATAGTCCGAGAATTCATCTGAGTGGGTGATCATAGTGATAGGATCAGCCCCTTTGTCAGACAAAGTTAATGATCGGGGATGCGCTCTCTCTGATGGAAACATAAACTGCCGGCGGTGGATTTCAAATGTGTTTGAAATTTGGTTTTGCAATATATATATATATATATATTATGGTTTCAAAATGTTTGCAAAATGTTTTAATTCCTGGGATCAATGTGAGTAGAGAGTGCAACACTATACCTTGCAGCTGAGGGAGATGTCATCTCTTGTTGGGCAGTGTTTGATCATTAAAGGCTGAGAGGTTAAGTGTAATACCATTGAGGGTCCTTGGGCTTTCATAAAATGGTTGGACCCAATAACCATTTAGTGTAAATGTTGGGTCCATTAAGAGCCCATAGTGATGGACTCAGGGGTTCACTGTATTCAGCAGTGAATTCGACCATGCTGAATCCATGTGGCTAATGTGTAGATCAATGTTAGGGTCCCACGCCATACAAAGAGAGCCAAGCTAGCCAGCATTAAAAAAGAAGTGAGTCTGAAAGCTTAATGGGCCTAAAAGCCCATTTCGAACTGGGTTAATTGGATTAATTAAATAGGGGCGGATCTGGGTTTGGATCAACAGATAAGGATAAGAGGATAATTCTTATCCACTTAAAGAGTCCAGATCCAAATAAAGATTTGGATCAGGAAACTCCTAATTTGATTAGGAATAAGCTGATTTTGAACTACAGATAAGATAAGGGATTATCCTTATCACTTAAAGAGTCCATATCCAAATAAATATTTGGATCAGGAAATTTCTAATCAAATTAGGAGGTTGTCTCTTTAAGGTTATAAATAGAGAGCAGCGCGGACCTGAAAAAGACACCAAACACAACATAGAGAGAAGACAACTCAGTTAGATTGATCTTGCCTTCAATTCTTTTTTCTTCTTGCTCTTGCCACCCTACCCTGTTCGATCTCCAGTTCTTGGATCTAATCAAGATTTGATATTGATATTGTTTCTTGCTAGAAGAAACAATTTTGAAGTTGTGCTCATTACCCCATTCGATTCTTGCTGAAGAATCACAAGTTCTTGGTGAAGAACTACCTACTAATCATTCCTCATCCTAAGTTGTGTCATCTTCAATGGAGGGAGGATTTGGTACACTTTTTGGACGTGAACACCTACGTTGGGAGGAGCTTTTTGCGTGGATTTCGTATTAGGTATATCATTCATTAATTTTGGTTTCAGATTTGGTTCGGTTTGGTTACAAGAATGAACCTTGAAAATGTAGTTTTCTAAATTGAGAATAGAATTCCCGGATGGAAGTAAAGAAATTTTTGAAATTTCGCCCAACCTTCCTATAGGGTTCGGCTATCCATATGATGGATCTCCCATCCCTTCAGGTGGTTGACTTTTAAAGGTCCAAAATTGTGGTAATTGTTAAGAGAAGGGAGAGAGGAGGAAGATAATGGATTAATGGGTTGTCTTCTTAATAATAGGGCCCATTCAAATTTTGGCAAAGCCAAGCCCGAGTTTTACCCATGAATAGCTCCACTCTCTATAATGGTTAATGGGTTGTTTTCTTAATAATAAGTCCCCATATGTCCTATTTATAGTGTTTTAAACCTCTAATTTCTAGAATCTTTTTCATATTTTCTTGTTGTCTATTTTGCCCTTGCAAATGCCTTTAATTGTTATTCTTGAATATTCTTAAGGGTAAATTTCTTAAATTACTCTTATGGTTTAGCTAATTGACTAAGTTTGAAAATTAACTAACGCTACCCTTATTGTTTTTGGCAATTGACTAATACTTCCCTTACCATTAGTACCTCTTAATATTCCGTTAATAGCAAGATAATAGGACTATTTTACCCTTCTATTTTTCGTAGGAACCACCCAAGAAATCAGGAATGAAGCCATGAGTCCAAACTTCTCTACAACTCTCTCTCTCTCTCCTCGTTCCTTCGTTGTCTCTCTCTCCCTCTCACCCCTATTTTATCACCACCGCAGCAGCTGCGTACGTCTCTCCCTTTCTCTCTTCGTCCCCTTCGTTATCTCTCTCCCCCCATTCTGTTCAGTCTCGAGGCATAAAACCTTAATGAAATTGGGAGTTGTGATGCCAGTGCACGGTTGAAAAATGTTGTGAAGATAGTGCAAGGACCAATTTTTTTTAGAATGAAATCCATATTCGAATTGTGAGGATTAAATTTGTGAGGATGAAATCCGGATTCGAGTAATGCCAACTTTATTATTTAACCCTTCTCCGACCGGTTAAAAATGAGATAAAGTAGGAATAGAAGGATATTAGGATAAGGAATACCAAACTAGAGTAAAAGAAGAACCAACCAGTCGATTCGTTGGAGGAGGCTTCCACAACTAGCATAATCACCCTAACTGGCTTCCTTTGACGATCTGTCATTACAGAAAAAGAAAGATAGGGTGGCTAATACACCCCTTCATGTTGCCTTTTCATCGATGGTTGGGTGAGAGGCACCACGGGACTGCAATAGTTTGGGTTTTACGTTCGAACTTGATCAATGAGCAAGGAATTGGCACCCAACCAAGACACTGATGGGTAGGTCGGGTTTGGATTGGTTTCAATGAAACAACAATGAAATCGAAGCAGGGGTTATGTTCAGTGATGATGGTCTCAATCCTAGTTGACGGTAGAGATGAACTGAAACAAGAGAGAGAGAGAGAGAGAGAGAGAGAGAAGGAGAGGAGAGAGGAGACAAAGGAGCGGATAAATGGTAGAAGGAGAAGAGGAGACCAAAGGAGATGAAATGGAGAGGGAGGAGAAAGAGGGAAAGCGGAAGGAAGAAGAAAAGAGTAGGAGAGGAAAGAGAAAGGAGCAGAAGAAAGGAAGGGAAAACAGGGCAGAGATGTTGACGGTGACTAGTTCTTACGTCCTCTGATTCGTTCGATCAAAAGGGAAGAGAATGGAGAAAGAGAGAGATAAAAGATGAAGGAAGAAAAAGGAGAGAATGAGAAGAGAGGGGAAGAAGAAGAAAAGGAGGGAGAGACCGATGGTGAGCTGGTTTGCCACCTTGTTTCAATTAGAGAAACAAAGTATGGAAAGAACACTAAAAGGAGAGAGAGAGAGAGAAATGGGGGTGATCGCTCGTCAGTAATGGCGATGGGTCTCTATTGCGTTCATTCCGGTTGAGAAGAATAAGACCCCCTTCTGTTTGCAGCTTCGTAGAGAAGAAAACCTCCTTTTTCCTACGTTTTTATTAATTGAAACAGAACCGAGAAAGAAGGGGAGAGAGACCAGAGGCGGAGGGAGAGGTCTGAGAATGGAGAGAGTGGGGGCTCAGGGGACAAGGGTAATATTGAGTTTGGAAAAAAAATTATAGGTTAGGTAGGGTCACATGTGCATAGGAGTATTAACAAACGGTAACACAAGGATAGAGTTAGTCAATTGTCAGTAGCGTTAGTCAATTTTCAAACAATAAGGGTATACTTAGTCAATTAGCTATATCATAACTTAGTTTAAGAAATTTATCGTATTCTTAAATGTTATTATTCTAGTAAATTCTAGCTCTTGAATTATTTGTAGGTAGTTTTGTTTAAGTGGCTAATTGGCATGAAACGGTTCAATTTAAGTTGAACTTATGCTGAGTTGGTAGAGTTATGTTAATGTACTTGTGCAAATCCATTATCTTAGACTGCATTTTTTTTTATATTTTGATGTATATAAAAATGATTTTTATTTATCAAAATTATGTTTGTTTAATATGATAACTATACAATATTAGAGATGTGCCCAAGCTTTTTTTTTTTTTTCAAAATTTATGTAACATTTCATTTTTATATTTTTATATTTTTTTATCTTTTTCTATTTTTATTATTTATTTATGACATCAAAGTTTTTTTTTTAAGGCAAGAATCATATTTCGTTCAAACTAAGAAACTTGTATCAACACAGGGAAGTAATCATAGTACCAAGCAAAAAAGCGCAAAAACAAATCCTTAGAAAAAACAAAATATAAGCTGTGGATAAAGGAGAACAAAAAAAGAACTTCTACAACCAACATAAGGTGAGGCAGAATCACCAACAAAAGAAACAATTGAGTGCATCTCCGACCATCAAAAGTTAGGGATAAAGATAGTAGTGATTCATACCAAGAAACTAAAGCCACCCAGAACTGTAACCACCATAATTGTAACCGTCGGAACTAGAACCGCCAGAACCGCCAAAACTGTAACCATCTAAAAATGTAACCGTTGGAATTGTAATCATATAGAAATGTAACTGCCGATGAAATACACTCTAGAAACAACCACTGATGATGAAAGCCAATGAAGCGAGGAAGGCCACCGCCCAACACCAATTTCTTCAAGAAAGAGTCAACCTTTTATATCAAAATCCCTGTATAAAAGAACAAAAAAAAAAACAAAAGATAAACGAGGAGAATGAGTGAGAGGAAAGAACGAGAAGTGGAACAAGAAAATCATGGAGAGAGAGGAGTAAGGGAAAGGAAGATATGGAGAAGAACGGAGAAGAGAGGGGGAGAGGGAGAAGAAAAGAAAGGGGATAGGGGTAACTCCACGAGGGGAGTCACCCCAAAAACGAGAAGACAAAAGAAGAATGACGGAGGGTGGACGAAGAGAAATAACCAAAGAAACCCTAAGATGAAGACTCTCTCAGAGCATAGAGAGGGAAAACCAGAGAGAGATTTTATGACATCAAAGCTGGTTTTAAATTTTGTATTCCGTATCTATCATTTACATATAAGATTTTTCATGGGATTGGGCCTAAGATAGGGTATGGTTTCACGTGGATTTTGTATTCCGTATCTTCAGTCACTCTAAAACCTGAGCATGGGCCGTAACCGGCAAGAAATGGAATCAGATGCACAACCAATGTCTAAGGCAAGAACATTTATTTCTTTTCCATATAACTCGTTTTACTGTTTCTTTGCATTCAAGCATTCCTGATGTACCCAAATTCTCCATACAGAGATGAACACAAATAAAAGGTCATTGAGATAGAGTTCAAGAGATCTATGCCTGTACGTACAAAAAAAAATTAATAAAATGGGTCAAGGTTGGTTTGCTAGCCTTTCCAAATACGTAAGCTCCTCTCATGCAGCACAATCACCTGCCTTTAAGGGGACATTTGTCATTAGCCAGATTGTAGGCAGATGTTGTCCTGGAAAATCAGCCTCAGTTCAGCTCTATAGTGCCACTAAATTTGATCCAAGTATGTATATTTTGCTGAAATATGATTAGTTACTGCTATGCTATTGTTAATAAATATGCCCTCTACTCTCCTAGAGGATTAATTCGATTAATTCAGACATATGAGCTATTTGATTTAGGGGTATTAATTGTACAACATATAAATGGTTTTGTTTTCATTTGTTTGAAAATTTTAACTGTGATTTTGTTTTTGAAAAGTACATGATCAGAGCATGTTTTTTAAATACCAGAAATTCAAAAAAACGAAGAATACCAATAATATGTTGTGTTTTAGTTTTAAGAATCAATATGTTTTCAAACCAGTTGGTTTTGTTTTGTTTTTTGAGCCTAGTAACAAGAAATACAATTTAAGTTGAAAAGGGTTCCACTATGATTTGCCCAAAAGATATAATACCGGAAAAACATACAACCTATATCAACCAGCATCGATCATAAAAGTAAGAATCAATCAGATGGGTTTTCACCAAAACTCACACGGGATTGTGATCGGTCAAAGCCTTTTTCAGTATGGTGTCTTTCCGACATAATAGATTTCCCGATTGAAGAGGGTTCAACTATGATGCCGATACCGGAAAAACATCCCCCCAGACTTAATCAGAGGCACATAACATGATATATTTAAAATTGTTTCCTTTAGGATTACAAGGAGATTAGAGGGTATATATTGATCAGTTCTGTTGCTTTCAGACACTGGGAAAGGAAAACTAAGTGAGAAGGCACACCTCAAACATGGTAAGAAAACCCAACATAATGGTGAGAAAACCATTACTTACAGTACATCGTTCGAGGTTCCGCCAGAATTTGGAGTTCCTGGAGCATTCCTTATACAAAATCCGAATAATCACGAATTCTTCCTGATGTTTGCAACTCTTCAACTAAGCGATAATCAGATCGTTCATTTCGAGTGCAACTCGTGGGTTTATCCAAATAGCAAAACAAAAGCAGATCGCCTGTTTTTCTCCAATACGGTACGCTTTTCCCTCTCATTTTGCTAAAGTTTGTAGGTGTGTTTGTTAAGGCAATTCTCGTAGGCTTTTTTGTTCCTCTCATTTTGATTATATTGCAATAAAATCACCAACATAATTCACAATTTGATAAAATTTTGGTGAAATGTTCCTTCCAGAAATGGCATATGCGAACCCAATTCAATGAAATTGCAACTACACATCTCTTAATTCATAATAGAGATGTATGGCTGTAATTCACGGTAAGTAAAGAGTGGCAAGTTTCAAAATATCGATACAGGGTATTGTTTTTTTTTTTTTTTCAAATCTGGTTCAGAGAGGGCAGGTCTAAAGGCTGGTCTACCCTCTAAACCACTCATCGACCTGAAACACTCCCTGTAGAGACATGTCAAAAAGGCTCCAATATGATATGTATCGGCCGGTACATGCCAATATATGATGATATTTTGAACCTTAGAGAGTAATAGGAAAAGTGAACAAGAAATCCCGTTTGGGAATATACACCGTTTTAAAGGATATCTACCTTGTCAGAGCATTTAGTTTAATCTGATCAAACCAGCCAACTGACCTGGACAACCCAGGAATGTGGGTTAGCCCAACAACAAAAGACATAAAAACAATTTCATCATATAGTCTTATGGGTGTCTTCACTGGTTAGCCTTTCAATGGTTTAAGATAATTTTGATGCACCTTTTGATCTGAGATAGGGCTGTGAAAGGTTTGATTTGGATCGGATCCGATCACATCCGAATGCGTTCTGATTATTGAAAATTGAAACATAAATCTGATTGAATCTAGGGATCCTGGATAGATTTGAATTCTATGGAGCTTGATAAGATTCAGATTTAATTGGAATCTTCTTTATTTTTTTTTGGATAACTAGCAAGTGTGTATGTATTTTGTCCATGACAATTTTAGATCATGATAGTTAGAATATGTATTTTTTAAAATTTTCTATAATTTTATATTTTTATGTATATAAAATAATAGGACTTGTTGGTGTGGTTTTTCAAGTGAAAATATTATTTGAAAAATTACACATAGATCCTACATAAAATTACTCTCAATCAAAGGTGAATAGGTGGAAATTTTAAGTGAGACCCACTTGTTTTTTCCCTTAAAATTATTCATGTTGAAAGAGCTTCAAATCATTTTTTTACTTAAATAGCGCCACATTTGCAGGCCTTATTATTTTATTATTTGTCTAACGGAACTGTTAATGACATTTTTACGGTCATGTGTTTTAGCCTTAAAATGACACTATAATTTGAAGATGAAAATTGGCCTTTTTGAAACTATCTTCACAAAATCCATCATACATATTCAAAATCCACTGAATGCACAGGGGATCTGCTCCTCACAGAATGCACCTCATATGTGCATCGTCCCACTGTGCATTGGAAACATTTCCCATAAAAATAAAATAGCACAAAAGATGTTCTCGATACATGATGAAATATGTTTATGGCATCGGTGTATGGAGTACTGTTTGAGGAGCAAATAAATCCAAACTCCACAAAAAAACCCTATTGAACAGGCACATGGTACGCATTTATACCCAACCAAGGCTATATGAACAAATATATTTTCAATGCTGCAGCAATATTAACAGATAGGGTTTAGCATTGATCAACTTTCAATCTGAACCTGATCCAAAAACTTGATTATGGTTGACCTGACTTTGAACTCAATAACATTGGTTCATTACAGGTTTACCATTTAACCCAACTCATTGACATCCCATGCAACCTTGACCCCATAAACCAGCCAATTTCTTGAGTTTTGAGTTTGAGAACCTGTTGAAGTAAAGATAGAATAGGGTAAACAAAATAGTCCATTAATGACCTATATTTATGACAAATCTGTTTTGGTGATAATACCTAGAGTTATCTTCCAAGCCTTACACCAGAAGCACTAAAAAAGTTAAGGGAAGAAGAGCTTGCCAGCTTGAGAGGGGATGGGGCAGGAGAAAGGAAAGAATGGGATCGGATATATGACTACGATTGCTACAATGATCTCGGAAATCCTGATAAAGGTTTGGAATACGAGAGACCTGTTCTTGGTGGATCAAAAGCTTACCCTTACCCACGTAGGGGAAGAACAGGACGTCCTCCGAGCAAGCAAGGTATAACTTGTCATGGGTTTTCTTCTCATTAGTCCTATGAAGAAAGTAGTTGATTACTCTTGAAAATTGGTTACAACTAAGTACTTTTCTTTCTCTATCTCCCCAAAAAAAATAATAATAAAATAAAATAAAAACTGTCTGTCCTCATTCGACAGCCTGTAATAGAGTGAGCTGTACTGTAGGGATGATCATTGCCCGGGCTGGGCTGGGCCGGGCCGGACCGGGTTTTTATAGGTTATCAACAGTATTAAGCCTTGTCGGGCCTGGCCTGGCCCACACCCTGGGCCTGATATTACATGTCCAAGCAGCCTGGTCCTGGGCTGGCCTGTATGAATTAAAATTAAAATTTTAGTTTTATATTCATAATTAGAGAAAATTATATTTAAAAATTATTATTTATGTATTAATATATAATACCATATATACTGTCAAATATATTTGATAAAATATAATAAATATCATATATGCATATATGCATGTCAATTTAAATATATATATATAAAAGATGTGTTGGACTAAAATTCTTATGAGTTATGACCAATCAACCGACATCACAAAAGTGATTACCAATCAGGTGATATTCATCAAAATTTATGAGGAGTTTTGATTGATCACAACCTTTATTTCTGATATCATGTCTTTCCGGAGTCATAGAAATTCTTATATAAGATGGCCAAACCAGCCAGGCCTAAGGCTTGCTTGACACGGGACCAGTCCACATTATGTGTGGGCTTGATGTAGGTCTGGGCTGGGCCAGACTTGACAAAAATATGGCTGCACAGTCAGACCGGGCTGGGTCATAAATGATCATCCCTAGTGAGCTGTTAACAAAGCTTTCGATGCATGGCAGAATTTGGATTTGCTCTTCATACGCTCCTCACACCAACCTCATAGTGCACTATGAAGAGCAAAGCTGAACATGTTAGTTCACAGACTGCTGGGTGAACTAATTATTGAATCTGGATCTCCTACCCACAGAACACTATAACTATGCATTGGGAACACCTTTAGTATTTACATCTCCCATGAAAGATAATATGTAAATACAAAATATATTCCTAATGTACAACTATAGTGTCCTATGGGTAAGCTCCTAACTTTTACGTACAGCTGTATGTTAAGAATATCTTCCCATGAATAATAACATGCAAATAAGAAAGATGTTTACAATATGCGACTGTACTATCTTGTGGGTAGGTGTGAATAAGATTCTAATGGATAGGAAATCCAAATACGCACAGCCAGCCCTGTGGTTGATAACCCAAGCTGTTAAACATAGACAGCACATGCTGTCGAACATAAGACGGCCATTTTTTTTTTTATTTTTTCACAATGATGAATTTACCACAACTTACCATTCTTTACTTGATATTTCCCATGTTTAGATCCACTGACTGAAAGTCGACCTGAGTTACGGGGTTTATTAGACGTTTATGTTCCTCCGGACGAGAGGTTCAGTCCTCGGAAAATGTCAGAGTTTATCGGAAATTCGATCCAAGCAATCGTGAATTTTATACTCCCCGAGGCAAAGAACTTGTTCCACCAAGATTTTGGCAGCTTCGAATCATTCGCCCAGTTAATGGATTTGTATTCCAGCAATCGTCATCTTCTTGTAGAGGGATGGGTGAAAGAGGGCATGAAAACATTGCTTCCCCAAGACTTTGTCAAAGAAATTAATCATGCAAGCAAAGAAAATCCAAGGAAATTTCCACTGCCTCAGATCATACAAGGTTAGTACATATATCACTTAATCAGGGTTGCAGATTAACCGAATTCTAGTTGAATCCTGTAAGGGTGATCAGAATTCAATCTGTTTATAACTGGATCGAATATGGGTCAATCTTAACGCATATGCTTATATATTCATATAGTTGGTTTGTTGTTGTGTTTCAACCAAAGGTTCATTGGTTCGAGTTTCATAATGTATTTTTTTTAGTTGTTACGTATATATGCATATATATGTATATAGGTGTAAGCCTCAAAGTATATATATATATATATATATATATATATATATATATATATATATAATACATAAGACATAAGACATATGTATGTATATGTGTATCTTAATTTTAGTTTTTATGTGTAATTTTTATTTACCTTAATAAAATAATCCATCTAATTAATCACATGGTCCTAGTTGATTCCAATATACACAACAAAATAAATTTATTATAATTAATTCTTTGTACATTTTTTGATACAATTTTTTTCTTTCATAGTTAATTTATATTTTATTAAATTATATTCTTTTTAATATATTATTTTAATTTGTTTTACATTTATAATTTTTTTCTACCTGGATGAAATAATACCTTGATTTTATCTACATGTACTCTAATATTTTTTTACAATATAAACAATGAATAATTAATACTAACAAAAAGGGGGTGTTCTGTTGGAGCCTCTAGATCAACAAGGAAGTTTATTTATTTATTTATTGTTGGGGGGGGGGGGTGGAGGTTTGGTTGAGGATCCAAATGCTATATGAAGTTTTTCAACTTAATTGAAATTGGAATTGGACATCAAGAAGAAACCTAGTGAATATTTTTCATCATATACAATTTCTTTATTTAAATTAAACGGCTTGTATATATAATTGAGTGCAGATAAAAATAATTTAATTAACAATTTTATTAAATTTTTGTTATATTGATTTTTTTTTTACTTTTTTGCTAAATAAAATTATAAATGTTATTTTTAGTTTGTAAATTAGTAGGTCCTACTAAAGTGTCATGTGTAAACATGTGATTGAAGATGCTATTTTAACATGTATATTTAGTAAGAGACAAAAAAAAAAAAATCAAAGGGATATGTTTGGTTAGAAGAGATATTATGAGTGATTTTTGAGCTTAAACTACATATTTGTATTTGTACTCCTTCCAAAGTGAGCCTAATTATTTGGTTGGCATACATAAAACAAAATCAGTTTAAGCTCAAAAATCACTCATAATATCTCTTGAACTTTGAGGTGTATTATAGATAATAAATTTTCATTAATTTTCCTTTTAGTGAGGCATACGTCTCACCAATTTGAGGAATGATTCATAAGTGTACGCTTCTTAAAATACAAGGCCATAGCCTCTTAGCATGTGTGTTGCCATTTTACATAAAACCAAAATATAACAAGGATTCATTAAAAATATACAACTCAAACCTCAAATGGCAAAGGATCACTTAAAACATGAGATAGGGACATAATAAATATTTATAATGCTCATTGGGTCATCTACTTTTTTTTTTTTCCATTTAAACTTCTTTGATCTCCATTCACATAGATTTGGTTTCCATCACTAATGACTTCTAAAATAGGCCTAAGTCCCGTACCTCTAAATGATTAAAAAACAAGCTTTCTAGGAAGAGCATTGGTCAAGGGATCAATTAAGTTTTTTTTTGACCTTACAAAATCATGGGATATAACCTACATAAATTAACCTTTTCACTACATTATGTCTTAATCTGATATGTCTATTTTTATCATTATAGGTCTTATTTTTTGCTTGAGTGGAAATCACAATATAATGAAATAAATGGAATTGATTTTTCATATAAAAGTATATTGGCTAAGAGACTTCTCAACCATTCAGCATCATTCCTAGCCTTTTCTAAGACAACAAATTTAGACTCCACGATGGATTTGGCTATATAAGTTTGTTACACAACACCCCCAACCAAATGTGAAAACATAACCACAAGAAGAGTTAAATTCCAAATAGAGTTTACATCACTGAAACTTTCTAATACTGAATGATAGTCAAAATAAAATAAACCATAATCAATAATTCCTTTTAAGATATTTAAGTAATTTAACAATGGTATGCCAATGATCACTTCTAGGACTATGAACATATCTACTTAATCTACCTATAACATATGTAATATCAGGACGAGTGCAAATTTTCAAATACATCAAACTATCAATAGTTTTGGAGTATTCTAATTGTGATAAAACATTGTATTTGTTATTAACCAACTGAATACTAGGATCATAAGGGGTTTTAATAGGATTACTATTTAAAGTGGCCAAATCTTCTAAGCATTTTCTTAACATAATGTGATTGAGATAATAGAATACCTTTATTTGTGTTGTAAATTTTTATCTATAAGATAACATTAGCTTTACCCAAGTCTTTCATATCAAATTAAAATGTTAAATTTTTTTTAGCATAATCCATAACCAACAAATCAGTTATTATGATTAATATATCATCAACATATAAGCATATTATAACTCTAGAGTTGCGATTAAATTTGCTGTAGATACAAGTATCACTGTCATTTATGACAAAACTACTAGAGGCATAGTTTGTTCTACGTAAATGCAATAGAACTTTGTAGTTACACATTACAAATGTATCCCTTAGAGACCTGTTGATTTTAGTGGTTGAATTGTTGACCAGCTTTAACTAGCCACCAAGTCACAAGTTACACATTACAAATCTATTGAAAACTTTTGAGTTTCATAACTTTGTTTTCAGTTGTTGGATCGATGTCGTCTTTTTTTTTTCAATAAATTTCCACAATCTGTGTACCAAGTTATTTTTGCCAAAAGACAACTTTTTTGGCCTCAAGTTTTAATTTTTTCTTTATTTATCAAAAAATTATAAACTGAAATATATACACACATGATGACTTTTAATAGTTTGAGCTGTTTGACTTGGACAATTAAACCATTGACCGACATTGAGAAAGAAAAACAATTCAGCTTATGAGTTGGTTTTTAAAACATTGTTGACTTGCATCAATTAGAACTACAACCTCATTATTGTGACATCTCTTCACATTTTTGTTGATGTGGTAGGAGAGTTTGCTCACACTTTACCAAGGACAAGAATGACATTTTCAGTTTTATTTGCTTTTGATTTTATATTTATTTGAATGGACATTAGGGTTAAGACTATCATTTTCCATTAAGTAAATCAGATACAAACCATATGAGTGTTCTAATAAAATGAAAACTATAGAGTAAGCATTAGTAAATATCTAAAATCATAAGAGTATTTTAGTAAATTACTGTTTTATCCATTGCTCCCTAACCATGATGAGCCAAAATGTTTGTTGGCTTTTCCAAAATAACTGTGACGTATTTCCTCTTTGCTCTTTTAGCATTGTCAGTTTTGTTATTGAAAACTCTCCTTTATATTTTTTCCTCTTTTTTACTGGAAAATTATTTAATTAATTAATTAATTAACTAATTATTATTATTATTATTTGCTTTAACCAGGAAACCAGTTGGCATGGATGGATGATGCGGAATTTGCTCGGGAAATGCTTGCAGGCGTTAATGCCTCCTTGATCCAATGCATGTGGGTGAGTGATGTAACCGGAAAGAAAATTACTTACCGAGAAAAGTTGGTCAATGGGTATCTCTTTCCCATTGACCAACTTTATAGTGTTCTTTTTGAAATAACTACTATGCCTCACCTACTGTAAAGTCAACTTTATTTATCCAAGTAAAATTTGTCCATCTCTCAAATGGGTAAATAATGTAAAGGAAAAGTTTATAAAACATAATAAGACAAATTTGACTAAAACCTTGTCATAGTATAACAAAAGTGAGATCTGATCTGCTCCTCACACAGCCCGCTTCACATTGACCTCACAACATGTCCTTAGTGCACAGCCAAAATGTGTAGCAAAGTCAGTGTGAGGAGCAGATCTGAAATCGGCAAAAATGGTTTTATTGACAGCCTAGGCTGTCAAATTTAAGACAGCCAAGTTGTTCCCCCTGTCTAATTAACATCTTTCATATGTTTTATAGAATTTTCCTCGAGGCTATGGAAGTGGCTACATATATTCAATAAAGACTTCTGATATAAAGGAGACCCAGTTGGATGGTCTAACGCTAGAAGCAGCACGGTTGCAAGGAAGGCTATTCATATTGGACCACCATGATTATCTCATGCCATTTCTAACCAGAATAATCAACTCGGAGGGGGTGTCCGTTTACGCATCCCGGACGCTTTTGTTTCGGAGTAACGATGACACGCTTAAGCCACTAGCAATAGAACTAAGCTTGCCTGGGTGCAGTAGTAGGGTGCTTTTTCCTGCAACAATGGGTACGGAAGCAGCATTATGGCAGTTTGCTAGAGCTCATGTCGCTGTTAATGACTCAGTTCACCATCACTTAATAAGCCACTGGTGAGTATCTTCATGGGCATTAAGGTTTAAAGCATGGTTTTCAATCTGTCATTGACCTGTATGGTTGGACCACTCGGCCTGGAAATCGTCTAGGCAATTGGTTCTGTTTCATTTTTAACCCAAATCTGACAAAAAACTGTTGATATGATCAGTAACCTATTGACCTGGGTGGTTGAATTGTCAATCTATTTGATCCAAATAATAGTTTTTTGTCATTTTATATTTTAATTATTTTTTTTCTTTAAATTAGAATGAGCCATTCGTTCAAACTGAATGGTCAAACTGCTAATCCAAAAATCAATGGCCAAAGCGGTTCCAGTTCCAGATTAATTTTTAAAACATTGGTTTAAAATATCGATACAATATCATACATACCATATATTATGATACATACCCGTAAGCATGCATTATGATATGTACCATAGATATCATAGATAGTCGGCTCCTAATCTCTTTTATTAAGAAGATATTTAGGATTACATAAAACTACAATAAATTGCCTGATTAGTGACATAAGCTGATTCATCACTTAAAGGCACTAATGGGCCTAATAACTTAAATCCAATTACTATAGACAATAATAAGTAATAAAACATAAGACATAACAGTAAGAGAAACATAAATGGGCCCAAGCCCATAGGAGGGAATTACCCTAGGATTTATATTTTTTATTATAAAAGTGCTTATTTCTTAGGAGACTAAGGCTCAATTTAGAAAGAGCATAAATGCAAATATATATAAGGTAAGACTCAGTTTGGGAAGAGTACAAATGTAAAACCATGTATTTTATATGTATTTGTATTGTACATATTTGTATTTATACTCCTTCCAAAAGGCTCCATTTGGAAAAAGTATAAATACAAATATATGGAGTATGTAGAGTACAAATTCTTATATTTTGTATTATACATATTTATATTCGTACTCTTTCCAAACTGAATTGGGACAAAAGCATCTATTGCCTAGATTGTCTTGAATTTTATGCATCCAATTCGAATTCGAATATAAATAAATCAAATCTAGATCCACCTATTTCCATTTCTATTAAATGTGATTGCAGCCCTATCTCAGCTATAATTATCATGGTTTAATCATATCGGGCATTTCAAATGAGCATTAAATTTAGATTAAAATTTAATTAGATTTTAAGAATTAATTTAGTACATCTCTATAAAGGTTATTAACTCTTAAGAGTGGCCAAATGTCCTAACTCTGTGTAATTAGCATTTCGGTGTCTCAAAGATACTTTGAACCTTTAACAGTATTTACATCCACCTCAAACTATAAATTACTTATAAAAAACCATATATATATTGTGCTACCTCTTTTAACTAGGTTAAAGACTCACGCCATCATCGAGCCATTCATTATCGCCACGCGAAGGCAATTGAGTGAGATGCACCCAGTTCACCGACTGCTACATCCACATTTCAAGGATACCATGCACACAAATGCTCTAGCTAGGAGCATTCTCATAAATGCTGGAGGAATTCTAGAGAAGACGATGTATACAGGCAAGATTTCCATGGAGTTGTCATCTGCAATATACAGAAACTGGAATTTCAGGGAACAAGCACTTCCTGTTGATCTTGTTAAAAGGTATTTGTTGTTCTCCCTTGACTTTGAGATTGGATCATTTGTAAATATAACCTTGATTGAGCATTGTTGTGCAATTTGTGGGCTGGGTTGGGTCGGTTCGGCTGGTTAAGACAACCAAATTCCATCCATTAACATCCTACTGAAGTTTTTGACTGTTGTTGAAATCTCTCCTGAAATTTGTTAATGGCAATTACTTTTTATGAACTTTTTTATATATTCTCTGTTAGAATCTTCTAACAAAAGGCACAAAAATGTCTAAAATATCCATACAGTTATAATTGAGACTGATTTTTATTGAATAAATAATACAGAATTTACAAACAAACAAAAAAAAAGAGTTTAAAGTTGAACATTTACCTTTGAGAGATTGATATAAAGAGCAAATTTAAAAAATAAGTCAAATTGTCTAATGAAAATACCATTCACCTTATTATTATACTCAATTTATCTCTATAGCAAAAAATGAGTTCAAATTGATACTCACAGAATTAACGCATCCCCACATGCACATCTTAATGTGCATTGGGAACATCTCCCGTACTTTTCATGGTGAGATGTCTCCATACATGGTTGAGATGTGCTGTGGGATGTGTGGGCGATGCGAATTCTTGTAAAATCTGAGTGACTCATCTGAAAACTTTGCAGGGGTTTGGCATGTGAAGACCCAGACCATCCCTACGGGGTCCGACTCCTTTTTGAAGACTACCCATTTGGTGTCGATGGCCTGGAGATATGGGCTGCAGTCAAGACATGGGTAATGGATTTCTGCTCAATCTTCTATAGCAGCGATGAAGATGTTCTCTCTGACGTTGAAATCCAAGCATGGTGGTCAGAGATTAGAGATGTGGGTCACGGTGACAAACGCAACGAGACATGGTGGTACAAAATGGACAACCTCTCTGATCTGGTGGAGACTCTAACAACTCTTATATGGATTGCTTCGGCTCTCCATGCTTCTGTGAACTTTGGGCAATACGACTATGGTGGCTACCCACCAAACCGTCCGACGCTTTGCCAGAAATTCATCCCCGAGGAAGGAACATTTGAATACGCTGAGTTTCTTAAGAACCCAGATAAGTACTTTTTAAAGATGCTACCGGAAAGATTTGAGATGACGGTGGGTGTGGCATTGATGGAGGTCCTCTCTAGGCATACTTCTGATGAGGCTTACTTGGGTCAGGGACGGTCATTGGAATGGACAGATAGCGGAGAAATTCGCCAGAGATTTGAAACGTTCAGGCAGCATCTCCAAGAGGCGGAGAAGAGAATCTTGGAGAGGAATAAAAATCCGAATCTTAAGAATAGGATTGGACCTGCAAAGATTCCATACACATTGTTGTATCCTGATACGTTGAATATGGGCTCAACATGGGGAATCACCGGGAAGGGCATCCCAAATAGTGTTTCTATTTAGTGTTTCTTTTTTTTCCTATCTGGTGTTATGTTGGTTCAGTGCTTCCAATTTCATTTACTATTTCTAAAGATTGGCACCTTGGTCGTCTTCTTCCACTTATGATTCTTCTTCTTCTCCTTTTCGCAATACTAGTCTAGAGACCCATATTGCATCCAATACAGAGCAAAATTGGAAAAAGAAGGGACTCTATGATGTATTAAAGCTTTCCATGTTCATATATAAAATGGAAAACACTCTTAAACCTTGATGTCATGGTGTAAGCACTTAAATATATTAAGGATCCGTTTGGTTTGTAGTCGAAATCAAAATTCTACGGAATCGGAATTGGAATGGTCCATTCCCATAGTCTATTTGGTTTAGACAAGAATGAGAATGCGAATTAAAATCAATAGGAATGGAATTTCATTCCTAAGGGAGGGGCAGGATATGGCCATTCCTTCAAATGGGGGAATGTCATTCCAGCAAGAATAGGAACGGGATTCCAATTCTGCCTAACCAAACAGTTGGAATCGGAATAGTTCATTCCAATTCTAATTCTAGACCCCTATTCCTGCAAACCAAACGGACCCTAAGATTTCTTCAAGTATCACACCATCAATCAATGTCTTTTCATAGGGAATTGGGTTTTACACTCCTACTTCCCAATATTTCAAAACTTTGAATATTGATCAGATATTCTAGAGAGAAATAATGTAAAGAGTCATGTGACAAAAATAATAATGTGTGTAACAAATAAAAAAATATTAAGAAATGCACAACATATACAAGTTTTATAGAGGTTGAATCAAAGCTAGCCTACATCCTCTCTCCATGAGAATTTCCACTAATTAGTTGGATTTTTTAAATACTATAACAAAACCTTTACAACAATTAAACTTTTTAGGTACCAACAATACCATTATATCCTCTCTCTAAGTAGCCTAACCCAAAAAGGGGTGAATTGGATTATACACGCTTCCATCCAAACTAATCTCTTTTTTCAAAACTTGCAATATATACGAAATAGATGTATTATGGAAATAATAATGTAGAGAGTCATGTGGCAGGAATAATAATGTGTAATAGATTTAAAAAATACAAAGGAAAATACAACACACACAAGTTTTATAAAAGATTCAACCAAACCCAACTTACACCCTCAGGCCATGCATACTACTTGAGAATTTCCTTGTCTGCTTTTTAAGTGTACTTGGACGAAGACCATGACGAAGGCACTCCGCCTCGTGAATTGGAGAGCACTACCGCGCCCGAGCCTTAGCTCCCAAGGGAGAGCATAATGACCCCTCGGCTCGGGCTCCTCAAGAGTAAGGACGCCGTATTTCCTGTCGAGGTTGCGGAGTGGGCTGACATGCCTACAAGCCAACTCAAAGGCCGGGCTGCTAGCTATTGTCTGCTTTTTAAGTGTACCTCGGTGAGTATTCTAACTTCATACTTCATTTCCTTGTCTGCTTTTTAAGTGTACTTACCTCTGCTTCCTTTTGCTAGGTGAACTCCGCCATTCACTCGTTGGTCTACCAGTCCGAGGTCCGCCTGAAGCAAGCTCGGGAAGCCGAGGAGAATGCATAGAAACTTTACCGCGAGCTGGACATAACTCGGGGTGAGGGGCTAAGAAGGGAGCTCGGAGTCAACAGGAGCTGATCCTGGCACTGACTGAGGAGAAGGAGAAGCTTCAACGCGAGAACGAGAACCTTGAAGTGATAATCAAAGAGCGCACTAAGATCTTTGAGACCGCCATTCAAAAGGCGCGGGCTGAAGAGAAAGAGCGCGCCATCGAAAGCTTCAAGGAGTCTCCAGAGTTCCACAATCTCCAGGTCGAGTACGAATCGAGCTCTTACTGACCCGGCTTCAAGCTATGTAAATATCTGATGAGGCAGAATTTTCCCAAACTGGACATCGGAGTTGTTTCTATGTCTGACCTTACTCCCGAGGTGGCAAAGGCGACGAATGAAGAACCTGGCTCCTCTAAAGAGGAAAAGGACGATGAAGTCCTCGAGGCGGGCCCATCAGGTCGAGAGGACGCGGAGGAAGATCGCATGGAGACTGACCTGCCGGGTAATTCGGATACATGAGTCTTGTCTTCTCTTGGGTCTTTATCATGTATACCCTGAGCCTCCAAGCTCGGTTCATAGTGAAAGTTTTTTTTCTTTCTTATTTCTTCCTTTTTGTACTCAAAATTTTATGTCAATGAAATGCAAGCATTTTGACTATCTCTGTGTGAAAACTTTCTAAAAGTGTAAGTAACTTCCGAATTGGCGAACTAAACCACATAGGAGCAAAAATTTGTTAGTGTTGATTGCCCCGAACTGTCAAGCTAACGAGCTGGACTACGAGTAGGGATAACTGAAGTATATTTTTTCTAAGTGTTGGTTACCCTGAACTGTCGAGCTAACGAGTTGGACTCCGAGTAGGGGTAACTTCGCATTATTGTACGCCGAGGTGGGCGGACATTGTAGGGTATATACCCGACCTGTCTGCACACGGGCTACTCGCTTAGGTGTCGGTTATCCCTTAGTGTCGAGTCGTCGCGCCTGACCTCAAATGGGATCAACCTGTTGTTATATGCCAAGGCGGGCTAGACGTCGTAGGGTTTGTATTCGAGCTATCTATGCCTTGGGCATGAAAATCGATTTGCCTATGCCGAAGAGGCGACTAGGACTTGTCTGCCTATGCCGAAGAGGCGACTAGGACTTGTCTGCCTATGCCGAAGAGGTGAGTAAGACTGATCTGCCCATGTCGAAGAGGTGACAGGACTTATTCGCCCATGCCGAAGAGGCGATTGAGACTTATCGTAGTGCCGAGGTCTTATGTTAGCTCGACATCATGACCCTTAGGCTTCTGGGAGTGACTCACAGTCCTCTCTCCAGTTCGATGATCACAAGTAGTATCTTCCTAGGTTGCCGATGTTCCACGCTCGAGGTACTTGTTTCCCTTCCAGAGTCTCGAGCCCGTACGTACCTTCCCCATATACCCTATCTTACTCGGCACAGATCTTCCAATTCGGTTCGAGCTTATCGACACCGGGCTTAGGTACCATAACCTTCCGAAGAACCAGGTCGCCGACGCGGAAGTGTCGCTTCTTGACTCGGGCATTATAGTACCGAGCTACTCTCTGTTGGTAAGCTGCAGTCCGGATGTATGCTAGGTCTCGTACTTCTTCCACCAGGTCTAGGTTAGTACGGAGCTCGTCATCATCGTCTCTTCGTCGTAGCCTCCAAAGCGTAGTGTAGGCACCTCGATCTATGTTGGGATCACTGCTTCCGTGCCGTAAGTGAGGTTAAAAGGAATCTCACCTGTGACAATCTTGATGGTGGTCCGGTAGGCCTAGAGTACACTGGGCAATTCGTCTACCCACAATCCTTGGGCTCGAGCTAAGTGAGCCTTCAGTCTGCGGAGTATAGCTTTGTTGGTGACTTCCGCTTGCCCATTCGCCTACGGGTGTGCCACCGAGGTGAAATTTTGCTGAATTACCATTTCAACACACAAATTCTGAAATTTTATATCCTCGAACTGCTTCCCGTTGTTGGAGATGAGCACCCGAGGTAGCCCGAAGCGACACACTATGTTCTTTCAAAAGAAGTTTTGTATGTTGTGGGCTGTGATTGTTGTTAGAGGTTCAGCTTCCACCCACTTTGTGAAATAGTCTACTGCCACGACTAGAAACTTCCTCTGTCATGTTGCTGGCGGGAATGGGCCAAGTATGTTGATTCCCCATTGTGCAAAAGGCCACGAGTTGGTGAGGTATTTCAGGTCGGTAGTAAGTTAGTGGTGGATGTTAGCGTGCCTTTGACACTTATCGCACTTCTTGACGAGCTCGAGTGCATCTGCCTTCATCGTGTGCCAGTAGTAGCCTGCCGTAACACCTTCCGGGCGAGGGACCTGCCCCCCAAGTGTCCGCTGCACAAGTCTTCATGGGTGTTGCGGAGAACGAACTCGGCCTCTGAGGGTCGTAAATAGTGCAAGTAGGGGAGCATGAAGAATCTTCTGTACAATTGTCCGTTTATAATGACGTACTTAGCCGACTGGCGCTCTACCATTCGGGCCACATTGCGTTCTATAGGGAGGGTCTCGTAAAGCAGATAACTCACGAGTGGATCGATCTGGCTCGGCTTTGCTTGTGCTATAGGAGTGACCTCTCCTGCCCTCCCGAGAATGCTAGGTCGAGGTAAGTCCTCTATGTACATAGTCCGCATGGTGATGCTGCTTGTGCTGGCTAATCGGGACAAGGCGTCGACCTCAACGTTCTCGGATCTCGGGATCTGTTTGATGAAGTAAGAGATGAAGCCGCTCAGGACCTCCCTGACTTTGGCCAAATAAGCAGCCATGGTGGGGTCGCAGGCTTCATATTCACCGCTGACTTGGTTGACCACGAGCTAAGAGTCGTTGCATATGTCCAGGTGCTTAGCTTTCACTTCCTTTGCTAGAGTGAGCCCGATAACCAATGCTTCGTACTCTACTTCGTTGTTCGATGCCATGAATCCGAACCGGAGTGCATATTCTAGCTTCACCCCGCTTAGACCGTACAAAATTATTCCCACATCGCTTCCTTGTTGGTTGGACGAGTCGTCAATGTGGAGTATCCAAGGCTCCTCGTCCCAGGTCGGACTCGCTCTAACCGGGATTGGTGTTGCATTGGTTGAAACTTCCACCGTGTGCTCGAGCTCGACCAGCTCGAGAGTTGCGGTACTGAACGTACATTCTGCCATGAAATCGGCCAAGGCTTGGGCTTTAATTGCCATCCGAGGTTCATACCGGTTGTCGTACTCGTTGAGTTCGATAGCCCACTTCGTCAATCTGCCAAACATCTCGGGCTTGAGCAGGATCTATCTTAAAGGTTTGTTGGTGAGGACGATGATGGTGTGGGCTTAGAAGTACGGACGAAGCTTGTGAGTTGCTATGACTAGCGCGTATGCCAGTTTCTCGATCTCCAGGTACCTCGTTTCAACATCCTGCAAAACTTTGCTAACATAGTAGATGGGTTGTTGGACCCGATCTACCTCTTTGATCAGTACCGAGCTGACCACCTTGTCACTTGCGAAGAGGTACAACTTTAAAATATCCCCTTTCTCGGGTCAAGTTAGAACTGAAGTACTAGCTAAGTATCTTTTTAACTCGTCGAAGGCGAGTTGACACTCTGTAGTCCACTAGAAGTTTTTATTCTTTTTTATAGCTTTA